AGGGCCACATTTGAAAATATATGGGGTGTGGTTGACAGCTTTGGGTTTTGGATCAACACAATCTGAGGTTTAAAAAGAAAAACAAAAACAACAAACAAACAAAAAACCAGTTCTTGGGGCTGGAGAGATGGCTCAGTGGTTAAGAGCACTGGCTGCTCTTTCAGACAGACCTGGGTTCCTGGGTTCAATTCCCAGTGCCCACATGGCAGCTCACAGTTATCTGTAACTCCAGTTCCAGGACATTTGACGCCCTCACATCTATGCATATAAAATAAAATTAAATAAATTATTAAAAAGAAAAAACAGTTCCTTCAAATTGGCGTAGGATACAATGGGTTTCGTCATGACCTCATACTTATGTATTGTTGTATTTGCTCTTATTTGGTTCCAATACTGTCCCCCTTTCTGGTCCCATCTATCTACCATGTAGTTCTCTTTTAGCCTTCTCATCATATATATCACACACATACACGTGCGTGAGCGCGTGCACGCATGCACACACACACACACACTTGTTTTTCTGATTCTGGCTTATCTTACTGTGCATTCTCTCTCCAGTGTCATCCATTTCCCTGCAAACACTTCTTTCCTTTTATGCTTATTTTTAGTCAAATAAAATCATTTTCTTCATATATCTTTTGGCGGGTACCCTGTCTTATTCCACACCTTTACTTCTGTGAACAGAGCATCAGTAGCTAGGGCTGCAAATGTCTCTGTGGGGTGCCAACATCAGCGCTCTCTGACAAAGCTCAGGGCTGGCATCGTCTATGGAAGTTCTGGTTTAGTTTCTCGAGGAACCTCTGCTATTTCTGTCGTAACCACAGAAGTTTCTATCCCCGAGAGAGCTGTCCCACCAGGCCCTCAGCAGCGTGTATTGTTCTCTGGATGGTTTTGTGCATTTTACTAGAGGTTTCTAAATGTTTTCAAAGTTACCGTCTAACCCACAAACAACGCAGGAAAGGCCCGGTGGTGGTTGGTTTGTGTCCTCTTGCTGCAGTCAGGCCCGTTAGTTTTAGGTCTTCTTCAGACAGGCAGCAGCATCTCATTCTGGTTTTGATTTGGGTTTCCGTGATGACTAATGAGGCTGAATGATCCCCGCTCCGTTCTTCCTCATTCCTCCCATTCATAACCATCAGGCACACTAAGCCTCCCATTTTGTGTGGTTGATCTGTCTGTGTAGTTCTGTCTGTCTGCCTGAAATAGTATATTCATTCACAACGCAAAGAGCCCACCCACAGACTAGCCATGGGGAAGCAGGACCAGGAACTGACCCTTTGTCCCTGCTCAGACAGAAGCAGACCCTGTGCTTGTCTGCAGCGTGCTCTCTCTCGAGGCCTAACAGAGTAGACATTTGATATGATTTAAGCATACTTTTGTAATTATACGGATTTGGGCAGAACATGAATTGCGCCCTTACTGTAAGCTGAAATAATGTGTATAAAAGATGCATCCATAGCTTTTTGGTTCCGGTCTTGCTGAGAAAGGACGGTAGCCTGCTCCCTGGTCTCACTGAGGAAGGCTCTAGGGGGACAGAGGCTGGTAGGACTGAGCTACTTGGGATTTTCATGAAAACAAATCTCTTGGTGACAACATAAACGAGAGGATGTACGTGCCAAAGTAAAAACTGGAGCTTCCAGAAGTTGTCCTCAGCCTGTATCTTCCTCAAAGTTCATAACTCCAGGCGCCCTAAACTGGTATTTGAGTTCATTTACCTCCATCTCCTTGCTTGCCCAGCCTCTTTGTTCAAAGCAGATCTGGAGACATCACAGAACGTGTGGGCCAGATGTTGCTGACTGTCTGTCAGAAGAACAGTGGCACAGCATCTCTCTCCTCTGGGGACCTCACTATCTCCGTGAGGAGGACCCACCAGGTGACTGGCCCAGATCTGTCTGGTCACTGTTTCACAGACCTGATTTTGCTCAGGAGGAATTCCAGACTTTGACTGTGGACTCCTGGGGTTACACTCAGGTCACCAGGCTTCTCATGGGAAGCGATTTTACCTGTGGAGCCCTCACCAGCCCTCGGCATCCATTCTTGCACTCACAAGGTTGTTGGCAGAATTTAGCTCCCTTGGTTTTCTCCTCACTCTCTGTGAGGTCTTTCCACAGCACCGCTTGCTTCCAACCAGAGAAGAGTGATAGGGTTCAGCGATATCAGGGGACCCAGTCTACTTTTTAGGGACCCTAACTTACCCCAGAAGCTCAGCCTCATACAGGAAAACCCTCTTGACTAAATGAGAAACACTGACCTGGGACCTTAACCAAAGCACCCAGCTCCGTTCACCCACACTGCATTCCAGTGACTTGGGTCCCCAGGCTGTATCCCCACTGAAGGGTGCAGGTGACACAGGCTGTCAGCAGCACCTGTGATGCCATCCTGTCACTAGTTTTGGGTGGAGTTGACACTCTTTTTTTCTCTAAAGGGTTGTTGTGTACGTGCATGTGTGTATGCATGCATGCCTGAATGTGTGTGTGTGTGCACGCGTGTGTGTATGCATGTATGCATGCCTTCATATGTGTGTGTGTGTGTGTGTGTGTGTGTGTGTGACAGTAGGGACTCTTAGCTGTGGCCACTGGATTCTAGCAAAGAAAATCAGCCAGGAAACGCACATAAACAGACAGCCTGGATGTGGCCATAAAGACTCAGGAGCTGCTTGACCTCCTACTGGCTTATGGCCCAGGAAGTCCACTGTAAACTGCAGGCCATGTGAGTTGGAAAAATTCTCGGTATTGTGTCTCACCTGCCAATCATTACAGTGTAAGGATAGAAATATGTTTAGGAAAAGTAAACCAAACCAAACAACCAAACCAAACCAAACTGCCTTGTGCTGCTGGAAAAATCCATCACCTCAGCCTGTTTCAGGATACAGCGCTGAGAGTCTCCTGGCATTGGATGGAAGGTATGTGTGTGTGTGTCCTTTGTACCATTATCAATTAGAAAAGTCCCCAAGGTCAAATCAACATTTGTACATTCGTCTTTAGAAGAGCAGACAGGCAGGAGCATTTGGCCAGTGGGCTGTCCTTTTCTGATTCTTCATTTAAGGGGTCTGTGTTAGGTAGGTTTTTGTCAGCTTGACACAAGCTAGAGTCATCTGCAAAGGCGGAACCTCAATTGGCGAGTTGTTTCCATCAGATTGGCTTGCGGACATGTCTGTGGGAGTATTTTCCTAATTAGTGATTGATGGGAGAGGGCATAGCCCACTGTGGGTGGAGTCAAACCTGGGCAGGTGGTCCTGGGTTCTGTAAGAAAGCAGGCTGAGCAAGCCATGAGGAGCAGACCAGTAAGCAGCACTCCTCCGTGGCCTCTGCATCAGCTCCTGCCTCCGGGTTCCTGCCTTGAGTCCCTGGCCTGACTTCCTGCAGTGAAGGATTGTGCCCTGGCATATGTAAGCCAAATAAACCCTTTCCTCTCCATGTTGCTTTTGGTCACAGTGTTTTCATAGCAGTAAGAAAGCAAGATAGGGCAAAGCTAAAATATGATACTGTAACACATTTTCTTCCTCATTTTATCTATCTATCTATCTATCTATCTATCTATCTATCTATCTATCTATCTATCTATCTA